CAGGACAGTACAAGCTGTGACTGCCTAGGGAGGGACAGTGTCCAGGCCACAGGGCCTGTGCTCCTGGCAGCCTGCCCTGCTTTGGGCTTAGTGACCTCCTGCAGGTCCCCTCCCTCTCCCACCCTTTGGTTTCTAGCAGAGGACCCCACCCCACTTCTCCTCTGGGGGCTCGGGCTGCTCACCCTCCCTGTTCCTCTCCCCTCCCTCTGCCCAGTTGCTCAGTCTGCTGTTGGAGGCAGGACGGGCACAGAAGGAGCCTTAGCGGGGGCCAAGGGCAGACTTCAGTGAACATCAGCCTGTCCAGACACAGCCCGCTTTGGTGTGCAAGGCAGATCTCTATCCCACCCTCATTCTTTATTCCTTGGGAGCCAGGAGGGCTGGGGATGTGGTCCACGCTTTACAAATGGGGAAACCCAGGCCCAGAGCATGAAGCAGTTTTTCACAAGTCAGTGGGAGAGGCAGGCTGGGGCTGGGGGGTGGGGGGGTCTCGTCTCAGGTTGACATCCGTCACTCCCCTTAGCAATCTGGAGACAGCAAAGTGCTGAGGCTCAGACCTCCGGCAAGGGCATGGCTTTGCAGCTGGGAGGACACGAGCCCAAACCCTGGCTTGGCCATGGGTGATTCTGGGCCGTTTACTTCACCTCTCCTACCTGCAGTTTTCTCATCTGTAAAATGGGGACATTACGGGAGCTTTCTCAAAGGGTGTTGTGAAGATGAAATGATCTCTGTGGGGAGGGCCTGGCCTTGGCAAGTGGGAGACATTGCTGTGGCCTCTGGGCTGTGTCCCACCCATCCTGGGCCCAGGGCCAGCTTGGAGCTTTCCTAACACGGTGTCCAACCACCTTCAGGCTGGATCTTGCTTGGAGAGAAGTCTGTGTATGGAGCTGCAGAAGTTCCCCCGGGGGCTCCAATATGCAGCCAGAGCAGGCTCATTGTGCAGATGGGGAAACTGAGTCTCCCAGGGGCAGGGTAATGTGAAGGTCCCCTGGGGTCTGCTCTTACCTCCTCTAAGACTCACCTGTCCTCAGGCACCTTGTCCTGAGGGTGCCACCAGGTGAGTGGGGAGATGGGAGTCACTGCCAGAGATGTGCTGTCCCTCACAGACTCTCCTCCTCCAGGATTGGTGTCTCCTGCAGGTGATGACCACCCCACCTCCTCGCCTCGGAATAGAGATGGGGCCAGTCTGACTCTTGGAGCCTTGGTTTCCCCCTCTGTGAAGCGAGGTGCAGGGAGATGTGGGTCAGCAGTGGCCTAGCTGCTCTGACAGCTAGCAGAAGCCCATGTGTTCAGTCCACAGCCCCTTGGGCTCCTTCCCCACAGCTTGCAGGCCAGGGCTGGTCTACCACACACAGCCTTCTTGCTGGGAAACGAGGCTGGAGAGAGCAGAGGCCCTGACATGGCCACCTGGCCTTCTGTCCTGGGTGCCTGGCATGGGGTCTGCCAGCCCCGAACCACTGAGAAAGCATTTAGGCAGCAACCCAAGCTGTAGCCACCTGCTCTCCCTGCAGACACACAATCACCTGGATGCCCTTGCCCTGTGTCCAGCCTTGGGGACAGGGCCTCAGGGCGGCTCCACAGCTGCTGATGTCCCTGTGAGGCAGCTGCTGTCACAGAGCCCCAGTTGTGCCTAGAGGCTTTTACCCAAGGTGCCACCCAGGCCTCAATCCCGGGACAGGACTGCTTCAGTTTCCTGCCTGATCTTGTCTGTATACCCCAGACCAGAGAGCTCACTTCCATCCCAAAGCAGTCCGTATTATTTCAGAGCTGTGCTTTTTGTAAATCTGAGATTTGCCTCCAGCCTCACCCCTGGAGTCCCAGCCTGCTTGGGAGTCTCCTAGCAGTCTGCTTCCTCTCTCCAGGGTGCCTTGCAGAGATTTGGGGTGGGGCCCAGGATCCGAGTCCCCTGCGCTCCCAGGCACACCCCTAGTGCCTTTGGGTACGAGGTTAACAGACCTTTCCCCATCCTGGATTTGTTCTACAGTACTCTCATTTGTCCCCGGAAATTAACTCAAAGAAGCATTCGTTAAACCCCAATTATGTGCCAGGCCTTCTGTTGGCACTTGGGACACAGGGCCATCAACAAGGTCCCTGCTGTGACACGACAGTCATAGAGGAAAGATGAATTCAGGCTGGAGATGCTCCCTAGATAAGGCCTCAGCCTAGATTAGCCAAGCTCAGTCACTTGAACTTGCCCAGGCTGCCGAGCAAGCGATAAAATCCCAGCCTGCCCACTGTGCACAGCTGATTCTTCCCTGGAAGACTCCAGACTCTCAAACCATGGAGAATAACCCGGCCTCCGGCTTCAGTCCAGACCCTCCATGTCCCAAGCTCTCCAGATCCAATGAACCCTGGGTGGCTCCAGGACTTTATTCTGCCCTAAAACTAGCCCAGCCAGACCCCAGCCCGGTACCAGGATGCCCCAGGGGCCTGGGAGTGCGCAAGGCCTTGGCTCTGGCCCCCCGCTGCAGTTCTTCCTGGTTTCCCCCAGAGGCACAGCCACTTGGAAACTTATAAATCCCTGGCAGGGCTGATGGTCCAGGCGCCTGTGTAAATCAGGGCTTGTAAAAAGTCCTGGAATGGTTCCCTGTGGATGGGCGAGAGGGTCCCTGCTGGAAGTTCTCGGAGGGCTCCTCACACTGCTGAGCTGACCTTCTGGGCAAGGCTCGTGGGGTGCAGAATGCAGGGTGCTGGGTGCCACAACCTGGCTCCACATCCCATCCTGCTGACTGCCACGGGAAGGGTCACCTCCATGAGCCTCAGCTCTCTCCTCTGCAAAATGGTCCCACCTTGCCGAGTGGGGTGATGAAGCTGTGGTCTTTATGAGCCAGCAAGCATGGGGTACCCTAGTGTTTGGGGTGCACTGCACTGAAGGATGAGGAGACAGGTGGGTGGGGCCCAAGGCCTGTGTTCATCGCTGACCTGCTCTGCACATGTTCCCCTGCTTCCCGACCAGAGCCATGTCCCCACATGGATGGGATGGCCTCGCTCACAGGTCCTTGTCCAGCTTCTCTCTCCTGCCAGAGAGCAGACACTGAGGTGTCTGGATGCAGGTACTGAGCACCTGCCATGTGCCAGGTGTTTTGGCAGGAGAAAGCAGAGACAAAGGGAATAAAGTGGGCAGGAAGAGGAAGGGAGAAGGGAAGGCCGGGGGCGGCACAGGCAGAGCAACTGTGAGACAGCTGAGAGACAGAGACAGAGACAGAAGCTCCGTGTGCACCGGCGTGAGCACATGTGTGTTTATGTATGTGTGTGCTGACCTCCGCCTGGACATGACCGAGAAGGCTGGGGTGCAGGGTGGTCTACAGTCTAGGCTGGAAGGGCAGCATGGCCCCTGGCAGGCCTGGGCACTGCCCCTGTGCCCTAGGTCCCTGGGCCGACCCCACAGATGCCCCACAGTGGCCTGTTCCTCAGCGGTCCCCCAAGCACAGTGAGAAATACCAGCTCCTCCCCCCAACCCAGTTTTCCCCATGACAGTGACAGTCATGCCTCCCTGCCAGTCAGGGGAGCCCTCATCTCGCCCTGGACCCCTGAGCGGGTGGCTGCAGAGGCCTTGGCACAGGGCAGGGCTGGGGAGGGCGGTGGCCTTGCAGGTCTCTAAGTGGTGGGGAAGGGAGCTTAGGCATCTACCTGGGGCCTGGCCCGGACCGTCCAGTACTGTCACATGGAGGAGCCCCAAGTGTGCCAGAGGAGCAGGACAGTCCCTGGGGACAGGGAGGAGTCACATGGAGACTCTGAGTCTGGGGTGCAGGGCTCGGGCCACCCAGCACCTCGGCCACTGCCCATCTCCTCTGTGAGCCCGCTGTCTTTGTTTCTCTGCCTGTCTTTCTCCTTCTCTCTCCTCTCTGAAATTAAATGGGATCCAACTGCCAGCTCTCTGTGTGTTCTCCTGCTCGAGGCTCGGCCCTTTTCATTATTAATAGAAACATGTCCTCATTGTACAGCCTAATTCCGGTTATTTGGACTGGATTAAGTGCTCACAATGACATGCAGCACTGATTCTTGCGCATCCTTGTTAAAGGAATTTTGCCACAGCCTAATGAGTTCCATAAATCACTGGGGATGGGTGAGGGGTGTGAGGGGACCCTGGATGGGAGTCAGAGCCCTGATGGGTGTGGGGTGAGGGCCTCCCCACAGGGAGCTCGGCTGGGCCCTCCGGAGGCGGGTAAGGCTGGGAGGGTAGGTGGGTGCCAGGGCTCCGAGTCCCCCAGGGGCAGAAAGGGGAAGTGGTGGGCATGGGGCTGGAATCAAGGCTTGGGTTTGGATCCCAGATGCTGTCACATGGGCAAGTGACTTCCCTGTCCCTTTGTTTCTGCATCTGTGAAATGGGGGTAAGTCATGGTCAGAGTCTGACCTGGGTTTGAATCCCGCCTGCTGCTCCTGAGCTATAGAGGAGAAGGCCTCCTTGGGGCTGTGTCCAGGAGCGGGGCAGGGTGGGGGAGAGAGCGCACAGCTGGTATGCAAAAATGGGGCCTCCCTTGCACTGTTTCTCCTTGACCACTTTCTTGGGTGGCCTTCAGGGTGACAGAGGAAACACAGGGCTCTGTCCATGCTGTCTTGCCTTTGGGGGTGGCTGGGGCTCTATGCCAGGGCCATATCTTGAAGGCTCACCCCACCCGACCCTGGATCTTCATTCACACAGGGCCAGGCAGCTCGATTTCTCTCCGGCTGAGGCCAGTTTGGCCAGCAGGGCTGTGGGGAGGCCAGGGCAGAGCGAGTTCCACAGCAACCAGTCTGACCATGGGGCCTGGGCCCGTCCCTGATCCCGTCCCTGCCTGGGTCTCCTGACCTGTCCAAGGGGCAGTCTCTGCTTGGCAGTGCCACCTGTGACCAGCACGGGGGTCTACAGGACCACAGCATGGGGTGAGAGCGGGGGACACTGGTCCTATCCCCACCCAGAACTGCGCCGGTTCCGGCCCCCACCGCACACTCCTCTGAGCTTGGTGGGAGCCTCCCAGTCGTGGCCTCTAGGCTTAATCCCTAAGCAGAACCAGGCTCCTGAGTCTTGTTTCCAGTTTTTAATGTTTCTCTTGTAAAACAAAAATATAAAACTGGCAAGGGAATGAGAAACGAGTTCCATACATTTTATATACACGAGGTCTGTGATTTCAAAACCGTAGGCAAGAGAAACAGGAAGACACAACCAAGGGCCTGTCACACAGTCCTGGTCCCTGGCGGGCACCTCTGAGCTCAGCCCCGTGTGGCAGCCCAGCCTCGTGTGGCAACGGGGGAGCCATGCCAAGTGGTGACGTAGATCTGTGAGCCGGCCGGCAGGGCCTGCCCTCCTTCAGGTGTCTGTGTAGATGCAGGGGATGTGACTCAGACAGTGGTCAAAGGCGCCATTGGAGAAGAAGCTGCAGTCCTCAGGGCCACCGGACGCCACATCTTCAGATGACTGTGGGGGTAGCGCTGTGGGGCACGGGGCCTCGTAGCCTGTGGGCAGGCAGAAAGGGTCAGGGCTGGAGGCGGCAGAGGCTCTGTTCTGCTGTCTTTCCCAGCTCCCTGGCCCCAGCCGAGGCCCGGGCTCCTCCCCACTCAGCACACCCTGCCCTCCGGGGGTTGTCCAGGTGGGGGAGTGCGGCTTCCTGGGGCGGGGCGAAGGGGCAGGCTGGCCTGGGGGGCCCATCCCCAGGGCTGCAGAGGGACAGAATGTGGGGTTCCTGAGCTCCCCCTCTCCTGGCAAAAGGACTCTCCTCAGCCCAGCAGCCTCAAGGAACCCCAAAACGGGAACCCACATTTACTGAACACTCACTAAATGGTCACCTAAGCCTTCTCTCACCTCAACTTCCCAACAAGCCCATGAGGCCATCTGAGAGACTTGGGATGGAGTGCACAAAGCCCCCTCACCTGAGGCAGGTAAAGGTGCGCTGAGGCTGGGGTAGCCATTGGGCCGCAGCTGGGTGAAGCCGGGGGCCTCCCCGGCCAGCCCGTCCCCGCTGGCTGCTGGCTCACCACTCCGGAAGCAGTTGCTGTAGGGGAAGCAGCTCTGGATGGAGTGGAAGCTGCCCTGGTAGCCTGTGGGAGAGGGGGCAGAAGCCGTCAGGGAGGGCGGTCGGTCACAGCGCACCCTGCAGCCCCCAGCACTGTCTGGCCCAGGTATGATGGCCCCTGGCTGGGAGGGGACAGCTGGCTCCCTGCCTCAGGCCACCAAACCCCCTCCCTGGCTGCTCCAGCACATAGCAACCCTTTCCCCCACTGGCAGCTGCGATGCTGTTCAGGGTGGGAAAGCCCTTCCCGCCTGTGGGTGGAACAGACGCCTCCTCGCCTTTAGAGCCAGTTTCCTCTGGGGCCGACTTTGGCTAGGGATTTGTTTGCTTGTTTGCTTGTTTTTATCCTCCTCTGGGGATTGAACCTAGGGCCTTCACACTAAGCTGCACTTCCAACCTTTTCTATTTTGAGATGCGATCTGGCTAAGTTTCCCAGGCTGGGTTTGAACTTGTGATCCTCTTGCCTCAGTTTCCCTCCCCAGTGCTGGGACTGCAGGTGTGCAGCACCACGCGCGGTTCCAGACCAGGTCTTTCCGGTCACCTTGCCCTGGTCCTCATCTCCAGGCTGCCATTCACCGAGGACCCACCTGCCTCCCCCAGGCTGTGTGTCACCCCTCGCGTTGGGATGGACCCGCACAGGCCTGGCCAGAGCTCACCTTGTGGGCCGGGCAGTGGTGGGGGTGGGGGGCTCTGGAAGGGGGTGTAGGGCGGCTTGCTGGGCAGCGCAGAGAAGGGCTGGGTCCCTGGAGGCTGGCTCTGGGAGGACGGTGGCAGCGGTGGTGGCCCGAGCCCCTTCAGCGGGCTGAGCATGGGAGAGAGGAGGCCGGGCCCCAACCTGGAGAGGACAGAGGTGTCAGCAGGTGGGGCAGGGCTGGGACACAGCGGCCGACTCATTCACAACAGTGACGCGGAAGCAGAGCGCTTCTCAGGCGCGGCAGGATTTCAGAGTCACTGCAAGGAAGAGAGGCACCCGCAGGAGGCTGCCTGCTGGGAAACTGCACAGGGAATGTGTGCAGGCTTCTCGTTGCCCTCCCAGACACCACACTCTCAAGGACTGGATGCCGACTGTCCCACTGGGTGTGACCTGGAGGGTAAGCCTTGGGACAGACCATGCTGACAGCCTTGGCAAGTCCTTAGCAGGACAACAGCGCTGGCCCAGTTCACTGAGCCCCTGCCCTCCCCTAGGCCCTGAGACAGGTGTTCTTGTGCCCTTTCTGCAGATCAGAAAACCAAGGTTCAGAGAGGTTGTCCAGTGTACTCCCGGCCACACAGCAATGGCCTCATAGGTTATGGTGAGGGTAAAATTCAAGCAATGTAGATAAAGTGTGATCTATTCACAGCTACTCCATCAACCGTTACTGAGTGGAAGCAAAGCTAGATGTGTTGATGTTCAAGTTGGCCTTTTCTTCCCCTGCACAGCGCACTTTGAGGGACCTCTCCTCTCTCCATCTCTCCTTGCATACTTTTGTGATGGGAACGCAGCACCTCGACACACAGAGAGCACGAGGGCTGCAGGCCCAGGGCTGTGCCGACTGGAAGCGCGTGTTCTGAATGGACCGGAAGCTGGGCTCGCTGGGCGGCACATCACGAAGACGAGGTTCTCCCCTCAGGCTCCCCAAGCCTGCGGGTCCCAACCGGGGAGGCCAGTGACTTGGGGGTTACTGAGCTGGGGGTCCCTGGGGCCAGGCTGAAGGCTCAGTCTGTCAAGCATTGTACGTGGGCACAGTGAGAGAACAGGGCTCCATCTCTGTTTTCTTGTGTGGATTTGTGGACTTGTGTGGATTTCTGCACTGCAACAGGCTGCAGAGTCAGTGTCACTGCTCCAGGTGGCCTTGTCAAGCTCGGCACAATATTCTTGCCCTCCACACTGCTTCTGCCAGGTGGGTGTTAATGGTGCAGATCAGTGCCAGCCTCCCGGAAGCAGGGCTCTGTGACCCCGTGTGCGTGCGTGTGCGTGTGCGCGTCTGCTCCTTCCGGCCTGGGCATACTGATGTCACGGCCCCCTGCAGTGCTGTCATCATGCATATGCCTGCCCAGAGCCCTGTCCCCAAGGGCAGGGACAGGGGCCGCTGCCCTGGATCGCTGGCCTAGCACTAACATGTCCCCTTCTGTGTGTCACTTGTCCTGATCATCATCCCTAATGTTTTCAGGACTAGCTCATGGCCCGACAGTGGCCAGCTCTGTCCCTGTGCCCAATAAACTGTGTGTCCTCGTGGTCACTTCTCCTGGCCACGAGCAGTCCTCCTTTCTCCAGGCCTGCTGCCTCCATGGGGCCCGCTCTGTCCCTGCCCCATCTGAGCCCCACAGCCTGCCTTTCCCCAGTAGCTCCTGAACAGACCACAGGGACAAACAGCAAACAAGACAGACAAGTGGCTTCCTGAATCGCTCAGCTCCAAGCTCCAGAGACAAATGAACACTGGTGCAGAATTAAGGAGAACCCCATCTGAAGGGGAAACAACTGTTTTTCCTGTCTCAGCCCTACCACGAATCCCTGTTTGCTACCTTCACAGGCAGTGAAATCACACAGAACCCGACTCTGCCTGCAGGTGATCACAGGCTGCAGCCCTGATATCCGCCTCAGCTTTCAGAGACCGCTCACCAGCACCCGCTTCTGAACCACGCAAATGACCCCCGATCAAATCCCTGTGCTGTCCCTGGAGCCCACAAAAATGAAAAACCCTCACTGGGTTGGCAGGCGGGGGCTGTGTGTGCCTTGCACGGGGATGGGGAAAAATCTGCCCTAATCCAAGTCTCCCCGAGCCAGGGTAAATACATTTAGTCATGAAGTCAGGCCCTTTTAGCATATTTTTGAGTGAATCAGATAATTCTGTCAAGCTATTTAACGTCCCAGCAAGCCGCTGGGGAGCCTTGCGGCTGTCCCCTGTTGACTCTGGCAGGCAGGGAAGGCTGGAGGCCCTTCCCTGGCCCTCTTCTCCCAGGGTGGAAAAACCCATTCAGCAGAGCCCGAGACCCGTGTCAGGCCCCAAGGCCTCTGCCCACAGCCTGGGGCCGGGGCTGGGCTGGTGGGGTGCTTGCGGCCTGCGGCCCACTCGGCAGGTAGCAGGGGCAGGGCTGGGTGCCACACTGTCATCGCTCTGCCTCTCACTCACGGTGGGGATTCCTGACAGGCACTTATGCGGTGGCGGCAGGCAGGTGATGAATGAGGTGGAGCAGAGAGTGCAGGCCGGGCTGCAAAGGCTGGGTGGTTTATTTTCCTATCCCTGGGGATGTGTGGGGCTGGTGGTGGTGAGCAGGTGGCCCGACCAGGGATGGGGCCCGTGTCGGTGCAGCCTGTGCAGGGAGACACGAACAGCCGACTAGTGCCACTTTCCTAGAGGGTATTTAATGCCTCTACAGAGGAACAGACTGAGGCTCAGGGAGGGCCTGGTTTTCTGGGTCCCCGTGTACCCAGTTCAGGCTGCCTGTGCTCACACAGCCAGTTTTTCCTGGCTCCGTGGAGCCCTGAGGCTTAAGCACCCCTGATGCCCCTCCTGTCCCTGCCCGGGGACATCTTCCAACCTGCTTTCCCTGTGCTACCATTGCCTATTCCTCCCCACCCAGCCCTGGCTCAGGAAGCTGTCCTGCACCCCACGTTCCATCCCCCTCAACCCTGCCAGTTCAGCCCCGTGCTATGGGCCAGCACATCGACCTCCCCGGACCTGAATGCAGGGCCGACGTCCTCAGGCCCGAGCCCATCCAAGGCCACACAGTCTGGCCCAGGCTCTCACCAAGCCTGCCTTTGCCCTTGCTGCTCCTCCCCCAACTCCAACTGCACCTCCTGACCCCTCACAGGGCCCCTGAGGCCTCCCCAGGCCTCTGCTTTCTCTGATGGAGCACCTGCCCCTGTGTCTAGGCCTGTCCCACTCCCTCCTTGGTGAGCTCCTCCAGGCCTCCACAAGTGGACCTGGGAGGGCCGGGTGGGTGAGTGGAAGGAGGAGTCGGGTTGGTAGCAGTCCCCAGTGTCTGCTGGCAGAGGCCTCAGCCTTGGGGAGGAAGGGCACGGAAGGAAGGAGGCACTGGGGGCAGGCCTTGGGTGCACTGTGGGTGACAAGCAAGCCAGCGGGAGGGCGGGCAGGTGGGGCCTCCCTCTGCTCCGGTGCCAGCCCAAACAGATCTCAGCAGCCAGTGTTAGCCCGTCTACCACTGCCAGCCGACGGGCAGCGACGATGGAGCCACACTGACACAAGGAGAGAAGGCCCTCCGCAGGGACCCTGCAGCAAGGCCAGAGCACAGCGGTCACAGCTCAGTGGCGGGAGAAGGGGCTGGGGCAGTGGGCAGAGAGCCCAGCCAGCTTAGCAGCTGCCCTGTAAGCCCTGAAGAAGCCCGGGGCGGCTCCCGACGAGGCTGGGTGGGCAGAGGACAGGTGGGTTCCCAGTGTGCAACCAGGGGCCCAGCAGGGGCCTCCGGGTGCCAACGGTGCCTGCCTGGCAGGGTCACCGCGACACCAGTGCACTCAGGCACGGAGGGTCTGGGACAGAGCACAGGACACACTCAGTGCTCCACAAGCCCAGGAGGTTGTCAGTATCAGGAACGACCCGAGAGCGTGGCCACCTGCCCTTGCCCTCCTCCCACACCCATGAATGCTTGTGCCCCCAGGGCTGGCTCAGGTACTTACCCATCCCTGCTGCCCTCGGCCGCAGGCAGAGGGGACAAATGGTGCTGGGGACCGGCAGCGTTGTCCAGTGGGTGGTGCCGGGAGGGGACATCCTGGGCAGGGAGCAGGAGGCCTGAGGAGAGCCCGTTATGGGGGGTGACGGAGCCTGGGTACACACCTGCAGAGGAAATATGGTGTCACCTAGGCCATCGCCTAGGGGTGGGTGCGAACAGCCCAGAGCCACACTTGTGGGGAGAAAATGACGAGAAGGAAAATGAGCAAGGTTCGTGGTAGAAGTTTAGGGATCCAAACAAGGGAGGAGACGGCCCCACTCTGCCTAAATGGCTGTGTCCAGGGCAGGGCCCCTCCCAGGACAGAGGACCGGCGAGGGTGCGTGTGTGCACACACAAGCGCTGTAGCAGGGGCTTGCTCAGAAAACCCCCTGGAGCAGATGGTAGCCCTGGAACAAAGAGAAGCTTGAAGAAGCAGAACCAGTCAGGGCTTGGCAGGACCTTCCAAGGCTGCTACAGAGGTATGCAAGCAGAGCGTGGGTACCCACTGGGAAAGGTTCCAGAGAGAGAATGATCACACTATCTGGCCTGGGCAGGCTGACCTGGGAGGCCTCTGAAAAGGGCTGCCATGGATGGTTGCACAGGCTGTATACTGCACACAGGACCCAACGCAGGAGTGAGCTCTATTCTAGACTCAGACTCAACCTACAGAAGACACTTGCAGGGTGACACTACTTTTTATCACCTCTAACCTTTGTCGAGACAGGAGGGCTAACGAAATAGCGGATATGCTAGGCGAGAGGCATGTGTGAGTCCAGAGGCCTAGCTGAGGGTTTGAGAACTACTGACGCTAGCATTCCCGAAGTGCTTTCACAAAGGACCCCAGCTAGAAGAAGGGGGACCCCTGCTCGGGGAGAGGGACCTGAGAGGCTCACAGCAGGGCCACAAGTTTTTAATGCTTCTTATTTTATTTGAAAAGAAATCGGGGCCACACTTTGCACCTCACCCTTAACCCTGGCACGCTTGTTAGAACTGAACCTGACATTATTTTCCTGAAGTGGTGCAGCGAGTTGTTGCCCTGGGGACCCCGGCCTTGGTGCTGTGGTCTGGGCTGCGCTGGTCCTCAGGGGTCACCGCCTGTGAGGCCCATACAGAATTTGACGCTCCAGGGCTCCTTCCGGACACTATGAGGGAAATCCACCTTCTCCACTGACTGCCTTGCAGTCCCTGCTGAATCCGAGGCCACAAGGAGCCCAGCAGGGCTGTGGCGGGCACTGGGAGCTCAGTTGGGGGCAGCAGGATGGGGAGTAAAGGAAAGCAATGCAGGGTCAGCGGGAAGGTGTGGGGGGACCATGCACCCGTCGGCACCAACCAACAGCATGGCTGGGAGACAGCCCTCAGCTCCTACAGATCCCTACAGCTGCCTTGCGCTGACAAAACCCCACTCCTAGGCCACGGTCACTAATTATCAGCACACGGTGCATGTGCCGAGCATTCTCCTCATCTCAATCACCGTTGCCAGGGGGGATAAGGTCTCTAAGATGAAGAAACTAAGTCTCAACAGGAGAAATGTCTTGCCCAAGCCCGCGGTGGGCAGTCGCAGGCCGGTGTCCTGTGGGGTGGGCAGCAGGTCCACATGAGCGGGGAGGCAGGACCTCACGCCTGGGCCTCCGCTGCAGCCCGCTCTGCTCCCCTCCTTGTCCCGGGATCTCCACTTCCATGGCAGCCCTGCCTCCCCGGCTTGGGCTAGGGACACCTGGAGGGGCTGTGAGCGGAGGGGGCTGGGCTCCGTATGCTTAGTCCGCGCCGCTACCACTCTCTGAGGTACCCCTCACCTGCCACTGTGGACCGATTTGGGGCCTGCCAGCTGGGAAGGCCCAGAGCCCGGTAGATCCCGCCCCTCTCCCGCGCCATGCTGACCTTGTGCCTCCTGCGTCCTCATTTCCTGTTTGGTTAGCCGGGTCTGCTGGGGACGGGCCTCCTCCCAGCCTGCAGGAGCTCCCTGTAGCCTGACAGCAACAATCAATGGCACCTCTAGTCCTCCTTGGCCTTCACCCTTCTGCTCTGGATGCTTCCTGACCTTCCCATACCCTGTACCCGCCTCTGCCTCCGCCCTGGTCCAGGTTCCTGTCTGTACAGCTGTGGATGGATCCACGACAGTGAGCAGGGTGTGACGAGAGATGCGGAGCTCGGGTGTGGATGCTGAGTGGGGAGGAGTGACTGATTTCGAGGGGCAATGGGAGTGGGGAGGCCAGGCCTGCCTGTTGCCCCACCAAAATACACCACTTCAGACATAAAGGAGCTTCATCCATAACCAACTGTGAGCACTTAACCTCTGGCCCTAACACCTGTTCCAGACTGTGCCTCAGGCATCTGGAGAGGGACCTGGGGACCCATGCCCGGGAGTTCAGGAGGCCTGGCTTTGCCTGGCCGGTCCTTCCCTCCCTGCTGCCACAGAATCAGCTCGAGGACAGGGGCCCACGGGGGCCGGTATACTGCAGGTGTTAGGATTAGTGTTAGTAGCAGCAACAACAGACTATTCAGTGAAGAACACAGCCTGCAGCAGGCGGCCTGGGCTCGGGTCCTGCCCCTGCCATTTCCCAACCCTTCGAGGGTGCAGGCCCCAGACAACTGCCAGGACATATTCTCTCACTGGTTCTCAGCAGGTCTGGGAGGGAAGCTGAGGCTCAAAGCAGGCCCCTCCCCTGTGATGCGGCCCAGTGGACTTGGTTTCTCATCAGTAGCGCAGCAAACAATTGGAGGGTGAGTGCACTGCCTTGGTCAAGGGGCCAGGCCAAGCAGGGGCCCAGGGGACTGCTGACCCTGCCCATTCCCTAGGCCAAGCCTGGCAGTCCCTGGCAGAGAAACAGGCTTCTAATCCGCAACTGCTGCTGCTGACTTCTCTGCATGATCCTGGGCTGGTCCTTCCTTTGCCCAGCGTGACTCCTCCCAAGGCCTGGATGCTGGGCTGCAGGACCCCAGCCACAGGGCAGCCCTCTCTCCCCTGGAGTGGAGAGGCCTGGGAGTCCTCAGCTGGGGGTGCAAGCGCCAGGACCTGGGCTGGGAGCTGGCATTTGAGATGTCCTCATCCCTGGCCTCACTCGTCCTCGTGGTCCGCTCCAGTCCTGTCCTTTTGGTATTCTGACCTTGTAAGCAGCACCTCGGGAGTGGGCTCATTCTTCCTTCTACCCCTGGGGTGCCCTTTCTTGGTGGGCTCGAAAAACAGTAAAAGTCTGCTCTTCCCAGGCTCAGGAAAGACTCTGACAGAATTTAAAATCTGCTGCTACTTCAGTGTTGAGGGGGAAAGAATAAAATTAGAAAATAAGAACTGTTTTAAATAGTTGGAATAATTTAAGAAATCCCAGAGGGTGGGCAGAGCTTTTGGATACTGAGGGTTCCTTGCGGGTGGGGAGTTGGGTACTATGAGGCCGGGCTGCCCTTATCTGGGCTGTGTCCTGAGCATCGAGGCCAGGCATTCCGGCCACAGCCCCAGACCTGCCCGCTGGCAGCTGGCAGAGGGACAGACAGGCTGCCTCACCTCAGCTGGACCACAGGCTTTGAGAGTTGGGCTGCATGGGGCTCAGGAAGCCCCTGCTCTGGCCACAAACATCAGTGACAAGCTTGAAGGGGTTTTGGCCAAGGTGCAGGAGCTGTGCTGGGGCCTGACCAAGGCTTCAGGTGGAGCTTGGGTGTCGGGCACTTCTTGAAGGCACCTCCTCCCTGCAGGGCACCCAGCCGGCAGGTCATGGAAGAGCCTGGATTGCACCCTGGGGTGCATCCTCTCTTCACAGCACCTGGGGCAGGGCTGCAAGTTCCCCCAGCCTAGCTCTGCACGGGTCCCATGCAAGCTGCTGGTGACTCTGCAAGGAGGTGGCCCCTGAGGAGCTCAGGTCGAAGTCTAGTAGGGGACACAGGTGGCAAAGAGTGAGTCCAGAGTACTCAGCCTTAGGGCAGCAGGCAGCCCAGAGGAAGACTTCCGGAAGGAGGTGATAAGGAGGCAGGGCAGGAACCCCCTCAGTGAAGGCAGGAGTAGGGCTGGCAAGGCAGGGGCTTGGGAGCGAGAGACCTGACAGTGGAACTGCATCCAATGTGCCCAGGCTCTGGCAAGAGGCTGCTAAGAGGGCCCAGGCCTTGAGGCTTGGGAGGCCATGCTGAGAGGAGCCTGGGCTTCACCTGTGGGCAACAGGAAGCCATGGAGGAGTGGATGTCCCATCCACTTAGCTGAACTCAGGGAGGAGATGGGTTGAAGCCAGGGAGGCAGAGAGACAGCAAAGGCCAAAGGAGCAGGTGACCTGCAAGCACGGCAGGCTCATGGTCCTCCCCGGGACACACATACCTGGGAGCAGCTCCTGGCCCAGGTGTCCACCCTTCCCATCACCACCAGCCAGCTGTGCAGATGCATGGAGCTGCTGCAGGGCCAGACACTCCGTCAGGACGTCAGCCTCGGTGTCAGGGCTGGCATGCAACTGGGGAGCAAGCAGAGGGAGGGGTGTTAACGAAAGACCACCTGCCCACAGAGGCTCCCTTTATGGACAGGGCAGGACCCTCTCGCTGCACCTCAGTCTCCCTGGCAGTAAAACAGGCTAGTGGTGGACACTTCGATCACGTTAGTCCAGATCCTCTGGGAAGTAGAGGCCAAGGTGAGGTAGGCAGGGACTTTATTGAGGAAGCACCCTTATGTGAGAAAGCCGGAGAGCCAGGAGGCGGGATCACCCTCTGCCCTCTGCCCACGGGGGAAGCGGGGAAGATTCAGGGAGGGTTCCTAGATGGGCATCCAGGCCCACATCTCTCTGGAGGGTCAGCAATCCCAGGGCTGCAGGCACCAGCTGGGCATAGGCACCGGGAGGTGTGGCTCTGCACAAAGCTGAGATGGATGCCAGGTGCAGCCACTGGGTCTCCCCAAGGTTGCTGGGGGTGTCTGGGGTGCACTTCGTGTCTGACACATAGTATCTGCCCTGCCCAGCATTGCTCTTCTTTCTGGGTATGAGGGGCATCAGAAAGAGTCCAGAGCTGGACACAGAATGGCTGGTTTCAAGTCCCACCCCACCTCTTAGTCCCTGTGTGACACTGGACAAACAACCTAACCTCTCTGGGTTTCCCCCACCCTGCCTGTAATACGCAGCCTCGATCACACTCTGCCCACCTGCTGAGTAGTGAGCTGATGGCTGAGGAGAGCTGCTGAAGAGCTGCCCGAGCTCCCACTGCCTGAGCTCTTGTGTGGTCACAATGCATGACTGTGGATGAGATGGCCAGCTCAGCTATGCCAGGGCTAGGATGTGTCCAGTAACCCATGCCAATCTTTGGCCAACATCCCCGGCTGCCCCCAAGGACGAGCACCTCGGAACATCTTCAGCTCTCTAGATGGGGCCAGAATGGGGGCCAGGGCACTGGTGGGTGAGGGGGCACAGGAACAGGCGTCTGCATGGGAGGGGAGTTCCAAAGCGGGGCTGTCAGAGCTGGAGGCCGGATCCTGGTACATCCAAATGCTCACGGTACCCAGGAACGACAGGCTCAGAGTAGGCGAGCGCCTGTGCTGTGACCCTGGGCAGCTGGAGGTCAGCCCCACAGGCTCCCCACAACCCTGGGCTGGAGGGCCTGGCTGGGGAAGTCATGCTGGCCTTGCGCTGGGCTCTCAGCACCCTGACCCCAAAGTTGTTTCCCATGTAAACGAAGTTCCTGGCAGAAGGGGCTGAGGCATGTTCTTGCAGACCGCAGTATCAATGCAATTAGAATATAGCAGGAGAGGAGAATTAAGGAAGAAAAGCATTCCTAATTCTGAGGCGCAGCAGGGCTGCCAAGAACTTGTCACAATACAAGGGTCGCTTTACCCAGAGAGATGTCTCATCCCCATGGCCCTTAATGGATGCACACTGGTGGGAAGCCTGCAGATCTGCCGCCCGAGTCCCTGGGGCTCCGCAGGAGCCAAGCATGGGGCCTGGGAAAGCCAAGGCAGGAACCGGGTCCTCCGGCACTGGTGGGCTCGGGACAGACACCTCCTTGGTGTGGAGCCCCAGCCCACGGAAGCCTGGGCTGTCCCTTGTCCCCTCCAGAGGAGTGTGAGGGTCTCAGGCAGCAGACAGATGGGTCTGGGTGGGACTATGGCTCTGTTGCTCCGGGGCTGCACAACTTGGCTGGTTTGTTAAGGGCCTCAGTTTCCACAGCTCTAAAGTGGAAATAAAAACAGTGCCCAGCCCTAGGGAAGACAACAAGAGACACAATATATGAAGCATCAGCACAGCGCCTGGGTCCCGGAGGCTCCTGGGCAAAAGCTGAGCCCCTTCCTGGGGTGAATACAGAAGTGGAACTTTCACCAGGAGCTCACTGCATGCGATCTGGCCACATCCCTCCTCTGCCCCACCATTTGCAGTGGCTCCCCACTGTTGCGGGGCAGAGACCTCCCCATTAAGAGGTTGGCTTGCTCCCAGCACCCCAGCCCTGTGTCCCCGTCCTGAGGTGGAGCTGTTTGCTCCCAGGCCCTGGCTGTATCTGTGGTCAGACAGCTGGGCTGGTGACACCACACGGCCCCATCCAGCAGGCAGAGCGAGCAAGGGGCGGCTCTCCCCCTCAACCTCAGCGGCTCCCGCATCTCTCTTCACCCCACACCCTCCCTGGCACTCAGACACCCTGCCCACGGCACCCCCTGGACACTGAGTGGCCCCAGCCCGGAGGCTCAGCCCCTGCTACCCCGTCCCTTCTGCACGGCCCAGCACCCTCAGCTCACACAGTTCTGCTCTGAAACAATGTGCCGCTCACTTTCTCCCCAAACTTGTTCCCTGGCCGCTCAATCCTGGCAAAGGTGCCCTCAGGTCTACCCTGGGGGACCTGCTGTCCCTGTGCCCAGCCAGCCCCCTGCTGTCACCCCCACTCTGCCCGGGGTGGCTGCAGGCACCAGCCGCCCCAGCCTGCAGGGGTCTCTAAGGTGTCACACCCCTCTCTGCTGGATGGCACCCTAGATGGCAATGACCGTCCTCAGCCTGAGACTGAGTGCCAGGGGCCCTGCATGGCGCCCAGTCCTGCTCAACCCTGGCTGCTCCAGGCAGGCTCTTCCTACCAGAACTCGCCTGTCCTGGGTGCTCCTGCCACTAGACTAATACACATACCAGCTTCTGTTCTGAGCTTGTAAATCCACCAGGTACAGTAACTTCGAGTCCACATTGTCAGCTCATGAGTAAAAGCCAGCCCCTCACTGCCCTCCACACCCGCAGCTGAGGAGCATAAGGCACAGAGGCCTAAGGACTTGGTCCAGGGCCGCTGAGCCTCAAAGGTGGCTCCAGAGCTCACGCCCCTAACCACTGTCCTCTGTGGGCCCTAGGACCGTTTCTTCCACGAGGCCTCCTGCTCCACACAGAAGGATGAAGGCTTCGTTATCTGTGCCCCTGACCACTCTGACCCCCACGCCACCTCTGTTATATTGTGTCAAGTATTGGTGTCTGCCTCTCACCACTGTGAGAGGTGGGGACCATGTCCTGTTTTGTACCCTCGATACCCAGCAGGGGCTTGGGCACCAGTGCCCACTGTCTGAGCTGAGGTGGGTGGGCCAGCAGAGGGAGAGGCACTGGGTGCAGTCGGTCCGAGGTGGGTGAAAGTCTGCCCAGCTGGGGTGAGGAGGGAAGGGTTGGGGTGGCAGCCCCTCAGGGGATGGGTGGGTGGATGGCAGCATTCGTGGGCCTGTGGACAGGTGAGCGGACGGTAGGGAGTGCGGGTACCTGGCCTGTTGCTGGTTGGGTGACTGGGATACCGGAGCCTGCTTACCTTCTTACGCACCTGCTGCTCTTTGGCTGAGTGGGCCTTCACGTGTTTGCGGAGGGAGCTGGGGTCCGTGTAGCGCTTGGAGCACCCAGGGATCTGGCAAGCATACGGCTTCTGGAACACCAGAGGGGAATGGAGGCCAGTGAGTGAGGGCCACCTCTCAGGGCCACAGCCCCTGTGCAACCTGCTGGAGTAGGATGACAGGGAGGGGAAGGCACCTGGCCTGGGAGCCAAGCAGGGGCTGCGTGTCTCTTCTGCCACCATGCTGGGACCTCAGAATGGTTGCCTCCCATGCAGTCTCACTGTCCCCTGACCGATGCTATGGGTGGGTCGGCTGAGCCGGTGCTGGGGAAGTGCGCACTTCGAACCACACAGCTGCAAGGAAGCAGCTGCAGATAAGGGGGTCACATGAGAGGCTACCCTGGACAGCAGGAGGCGCGGGGAAGAAAGGGGACAGGACGGGGCTGGGATGCATGCATGGGCCAGCCCAGGGTGCCCAGTACCCCTGGCAGGGTCGTCCAGGCAGCACAGGAAACCCAGACAACAACTGCAGGAGGCCAGCAAGGGCTGGCTGAGGAGAGCTAGGGTGGGAGGTGTGGGCGCCATGCCCTTTGCGTGGGGAGTGGGCCGTTCGCATCCCTGCCACCCTCACTGCTCATCTAGAGGAAAAGTGGGGATCCCAAGCCATCCTCATGGCCTGGACTCCTGCCCCAAGTGCCACCTGAAGCCCTAGAGGACTGTGCACATAGCTGGCCATGTTCGTGCCCTCTCCAAACACCTCATGGCTCCCTGGAGCTCAGAACACAGGCCATGCCTGGCGCTGCCGGCCCTTTGAGACAGGCCCTGCTCCAGTCTCTGGTCCCTGCCCTGCACAGGTTCTCCTGAAGGCTGCCACCCAGCTGTGTTGCCTCCTCTCTAGCTCATCCTTGGAATCTGCCCCTCCAGGGCCCAAACTTCCCAGCAGCAGTGTCGTCCACTCAGGCTCCTTCTGCCACCAGGGCGGGATCACCCCAGGTCTCAGGGACTCTGCCCTGGCTGCATTCCGACCTCCCCAGGGGCTTTCATTAGCCCCTGCTTGGGGACTGTGGCTGCCACTTGACCTGGACGTTCATGAAGCCTCTCTTTTCTGAACACATGAAGTGGCTCTGACCCTGGGGACTTTCTGCCCTCTGGAACTGCAGGGGACGGCAACAGGAGAGTGTTTGCAGAGAGTATTCTCAGAGTAAGTCCCTCGGATGGCTATGTCCCATTAGACACACCATGTGCAGCTGTCCCCAAACTGCTGGTAACTCTGCCCATGCCAGGCTGAGAGGAGGCAGGGAAGAGGGGCCTATGGCCCAGGTATCTGAAGGGAAGGGAAGCAGAAAGAGATAACCGTACCTTGGAGCTGCCCCAGAAGGTTGCCAGGTTAAAGAATGGAGGAAAGCAAAAAGAGAGAGAGAGAGCAGTGAGAAGCTTGTCTAGGCCAACAGAAGGTGGCAGGGCAGGAGGGGAGGCCTGTCTCCCGCCTGCCCCCAGAGTCGAACACATCCACCCACAGCCCTGCCCTCACCCCAACACACATCCATACACTCTTCTACTCGGCCCCTCCTTCCGGTGGGCCCTAACCCCCCCCCCCACAGGCTCCGTCTCTCCCATGGGCCCTGCTCTGTCCCCAGGCTGGCCTCAGGCCCTTTCTCCTAGGGATGCTGATACTAATCCACACACTTTTGTCAAAAAGCAAACAAACAGCTCTGTGTAGTAGGCGTCCTCCCCTGGCAACAGGGCATCGAGGCTCCTCTCTGTGTTTGTTTTTCCAGGGCTTGACGTGTACAGAACATTCCTCAGGCCCAGCTCCCCCGAAAGCCCTCAGGAAACCCTGTGGCTGTCCCCAGCCAGCAGCCAAACCCCAGGCCTGAGGAGTCCCCACACTGCTCCGAAGCCAGGCAGGGTGCTTTATCCGTGTTAATTAGGCCATGTGTGCTCCAGAAGTAGCTCTCTGCCATGGTACTCGTGGGCGCAGGTACTGTGCTAAGTAAGCACTGGCCGCCCACGATGTCCTGTGAGCCCCATGCCCCCCTCTTGACTCATCCCACTCTGCATGGACAGAACCGAAACCCACGTGTGCCTCCGACCTCACAGCCAGGAAGACTGAGCACGATGCTAGGGTGCTGCCTTGAAATGGTGAAGTCTGGAGATTACACCGGCCCCATCTCACTGATGGGGAAACTGAGGCCTAGAGTGAGAAGGTGGCTTATTCAAGTCCCCATAGGGACCCACAGCTGCCAGGACTTGAGCCCTACACTGGACACTTGGGACAGGACAGGGTTTGGTTGGTAGAACAGGAAGGCTGCCAAGAGCATGAGGCCTGCACCACAGCCATGGCAGGCTCTCCCTTCTCCAGATGTGTCTTACTCTGAGGAAACTGAGGCCCAGAGAGGTGAGGTGGCTTTCCTCTGATTCTGGGACCAAGCAGCAGGGCCAGCATTAGAACCAGCATGTTCAGGGACACTTTCCTCTCTTGTGCCAGGGGAGCTGGGGACAAGGCCAGGCTCCGTTTGGAAAAAAAGCCCCACTCCGCATGGAGCCTGACTCGCTGGGCCCATGAGGGGTGGGGGACCAGGGTTGCTGGCTATACCTGCCTGGCTTCCGGGGGAGTCCGTGGGCTCATCCTGGGGGGCCCTTGTCCTAGCCCTGGAACTGCGCCCCACACAGGCGGCCCAGAGGCTGCTGCTGCTCTGGGGCTGGGTCCAGGCAGGGTACACCTGGGACCTGAGACCTCCTGGGAGGCAAGGAGAAGGCCAGAGGCTTTGCAGCCTCTGGGAGACACAACCAGGAGTCCTGCCCTGGCCAGGGCTGAGAAGGTGCCCAAGAGTGGGGGGTTTATTAGAACCACCATTCACTATGGGTCTCCATGGAGCCTTTGACACTGAAGACTGGAAGGTAGGGGAGTGGAGTTCGGGCTGGGATCAGGACAATACCTTTCCAGTGAAAAGAACTGGACTTGGAGCCAGACAGCCCTGGATGTGTGTCCCAGCTCCGTCACCCAGTGACAGGCAAATGAATCAACCTCCCTGAGCCTCAGTTTCCTGCTTTACAAAACGGAGGTAAAGGCCCCTACACCTTGGGTTGTCATCAGGATAAAACTGGGGGGACTGTTTGATACTGTAGGGGTGGGGGTGTGTAGCCCAGGGCCTGGCCTGGCCCCATTCGTTCCTTGCTCTTTTCCAGCCCCCCCCCACCCCCGCACCCTTTCTGAGTCTGATTTTCCAACTATAAAATAAAGAACTTGGACCAGAGGCCTGTAAAGGTCCCTCCAGCTCTGACCGCTGCTGTTTCAGTCTCCAGCTTAGCCTGGATGGGTCTGTGGCCCTCCTGGGCCTGTGTCCCTACCTATGCACAGGACAAGCTAGGCTGGACAGCCACTCAGCTCTCCCAGCCCCACCACAGAGCTCCCCACATATGGGCAGGGGGAGCAGAGAAGCAGGCCCGGGGCCTAGACCTGGATTCTGCCTGCAGACTCGTTTCTTGCTGCACATGGGGCTGGGTCCTCCCAGGGCACATGCCCCACCCCCAGGGCCTAGGAGATCCGACTGAGGCCTGCCTGGATCTGAGTCAGTCGTGCCATGTGCCACTGTCCAGCTGCATGGCCGTGAGCAGATCCTGATCAGAGCCTATTTCCCTCCTCTGTCAAATCGGTCAGAGACCCTGATGGTGGCATTAGTGTGGGGATGTTGTTCTAGAAGTGCTGCCACCAATGGGGTTGCTGGGCACAGTGGGGAAGGGCTGGATCAGCCCTGGGACAGAGCTGTGGTGACCTAGAATCTGGCATACACAAGAGAAGGAAGGTGGAAGGAGAGGCAAGCACCTGGAGGCCAGGTCCCTGCAGCAAGAGCCTGGCGTCTCATGAGCTGCCCACCTCAATTCTATGAGTCCACAAAGGATGGATGGGACGACAGGCATGGAGAGCCTCGGGTCTGTTGCCAGGAAGGGGTGGACAGACAGGCCCCAGGAAAGGATGCAGGGGGTAGATGCTGGGGCCTGGCCTGGGACCCCTGGACCAAATCAGGGACCAAATCCACGCCTGTTGAGTATGCGCTTCCCCAACCAGGGAAATCTGGCAATGTCCAGAGATGTTTGTCACAGCTGGAAGACGGGAAATCTCCCGCCTCTCTCCTCCATCTATCTAGTGGATGAGGGCAGGGACACTGCTGTACATTCTGTACTGCATGGGACACACTCAGCCCTTGGCCCCAGCTGTCAGCAGGGGCAAAGGACAAGGCGGGTCTCCTGGTTGGCTCCGAACAGATGAGGTCTGCGCCCCGCCCCCAGGCCTACCGTGTCCAGGTGGGTGCGCTGGTGCTTGGCGCGGTCACTGGAGTTGCTGAAGGCCTTCTGGCAGCCCGGGTGCTGGCACAGGTATGGCTTCTCACCCGTGTGGCTCCTCAGATGGATCTTGAGGTTCTCCAGCCTCGAGAAGGCTTTGCTGCAGCCTTCAAACTGCAGGACAGGCTAGTGAGAAGTGCGCTCCACCTGAGAACCCACCCACTCAACAACAGCCCCCCGCAGGCCTTTGTGACCCCAGCCCCTGCTGCCCCTGTCCTGCCCAGCCTTCCTGGACCTTCAGTTCAGCTCCCTGCCAAGTGCTCAGGGCCTGGAAAACCAAAAATCTGATGAGAAATGGGCTGGTAGGATGGAAAGAATGTACTCTCCCTACTTGTGGGCCTGAGAGGTTCGGTCTCAGCACAGATGCCTCCACTGTGGAGCCCAGGCCTGGGTCTGAGGGCTCTTTCCCGGGGGCTTTGGGCATGCCCTGGGCCTCTGGGCCATATCTCCTTGTCTCCAGACTTGAGACTGTGTGGCCACCATCAGGGTGGACAGAAGGACAAAGGGGTAGGACAGAGTGTCAAGGGGCCTTGTCGGTCTTGGGGCACAGACAGCACCGCTGCTCACTACTGTGAGAATCACCACACAAGTGTCTGATTAATCATCTGGCTGTTTAGCTGTCTGTGCCCACCACATCCCAGGTGCTGTGCCGGGCAGTGGCACAGAGGGGCATAGCACAGCCATGCCGTGCTCCGGGACAGGGTGTGTGCGTGTGTGTGGACAGAGAGGAGGAAATGAATCATGGTGGGCAGTGAGGAAAGAGCACTGTGGGAGCTCTGCCCAGCCTCCTGCATCCCTGGCTGCCTGGCCCTGCAGCCTTTGCTGGGCTCCAATCTCCTACCAGAGTTCTCTGACAGCCAGCTCCTCCCTGCCTCCTCCTACCCCAGTCTCAACACAGTTGCCCAGAAGCTACTGACATAGACATGGAAGCCTGTGGCTCCCTGCTTGCTGCCCTGCTGGCCAGGCCTTTCGACCTGGCACTTCCGCCCATTCCTGCCTCTCTGTGCCCACCCATCATTCCAGGGCGATGTCAGGGACCAGCCAGGCAATTTCTAGCCTTCATTCATGCAAGTCACTCAGCAAGGAGTGTCCCCTCTTGTGATGATCCTGCGCATGCACACACACACACACACACACACCCCACTTACAAAATCCAGCTCAAATGCTGGCCCGGGGAGGCGGCAGACTGACCCTTGGGTGTGACTGCCTGCTGCTCCCTTCTTCGCCCCACTGTCTGACCCTATTCTGCCTGTGTGCACGCAGGTGTGGAGCTGGGGGTCTGAGCATACAACTGTGAAGTACGTGCCACCACTGTCCCCATCTCAGAGACACCGTGAAGTGACCTTCCCAAGGTGTCAGAGCTATGAGGACAGGACACAGGCCAAGTCTGATGCCAAAGCCCAGGTGGCTGTGCTAAGCCTTTGCCTTCTAGGGACAGGTGGGTAGAGGGAGGGACCCTTGAGGAAGAAGGGGCCAGAGGCAGCAGCTTCCCTGCCCAAGCCATAGCTTCATCCCTGGGTCCAGAGTTGAGCTGCAACTGCAAGCACCTCCTGCTGATTAGGACTCACGTGACCCCAGCCCTCTGCACTGGGGTAGCCTGGGATGATGGGGGGCAGGTGCATTCCCCAAGGGCCTCCCACAAACCTCCCCTTCCACACCCTTCCTCAGGACACCTGCAGGGGTGTGAAGGAGCTGATGCATCCGAGAGTGGGTCCACACTGGGAAGCCTGGCCTTCTGTCTTCGCTTAGTAAGCTACCTGTTCCTTTTTCACTTTTGCCAATGTTAAAGGCACCTTATCTGTAGCGCATGGGAGGGCTTGCTGGAGAGGTCTCGGGCAGAGGGAAGTTTCCGTGGCCCACCTGGCTCGTTCTCTCGGCCCTGGGGGGTTGGCATTCCCTGTTTAAGGACCGACTCCAGCCTGCATGACCCATGATGTTGAGAGAACCAGACACTGGCCCCAGGGATTAGCTGTGTGAGAGACACACACCCTGCCATAAACCCTAACAGTCAAACTCATGGGGGAAACAGGGGCCAAGGCAGCAGAGTGGGGCCTCAGCCACCCGACGGCCGCCCTGGAGTGCAGACACGGGGAGGGAGCGTGGGGGAAAGGCTGGCTGGGAGACGGGGGCCGCCCGCCCAGCCGGGACACTGACTAGCACAGGCAGGGACACCCGCAGGGTCACAGGCAGGCCAGGCCGCGGGAGGCAGGCTGAGGCACCAAGGCCCACGGAGGGCAGGCTCTCTGTGGAGGGTCCTCTGCACTGATGCAGAGGATGCACTGGGGGTCAGGGCTCTGCCGGGCAAGGAGTCTGTAGGGCGTTCAGAGGCCAGGCTGAGGAGTCTGCTTTCCACCCCAAGGACACCATGTTCTAGGAAGCCACCTAGCTGCTGGTGACAGGTGGGCCTGGGAGAGGAGATGGAGAAGGAGGCTGCAGTGGTTATGCTTGAGGGTGTCATTGGGCCCCCTCCAGGTACAAGGCAGCAGATGGAGCGGAGTTCGGGGCAGAACTGCCTTGGACAGATGGGGAGATGAGCCCAGCCCTGGCTCTGCAGGGCCTGGTCCACAGTGAGCCACCTGCAGCTGGGTTTCTCAGGTGGCACCCTCCTACTTGAGGATGTGGGCCTGTCCATGCATCAGAACCAGGAGTCCTGGGCAGGAAGTGACAGGCCACCAGCCGCCCCTGCTTGCCTGCAGCAGCTTGTGCCAAGTTTACCCCAATGTGAGACAGAGGAGGCAGCTTGGGAGCGGGACGTCCTCCCAGCATGCAGCTCTTCCCTTTGTTCCTCGGGGGCTCAGACAGGGAAGGGTCGTGTGCAGCAAAGCGCAATAACTCCTTGGAGCTGCGTGATTTTCCTGACTTGGGGAGAGTATGCCAGACTCTGGGGAGCAGTATATCATCTCCCCCAGGGGCTCCTGTCAGGCAACTGTGCCCCACCCCTGCCTTCGTTCAGCCTCTGTCCTTTCCTGGACACCTTCCCTTTCAACTCTGACAATTTAATTCATACATTTTTCAAAAGCCCAGGATCTGCAGCTTGGTGTCTATGTCTTGCAATACAGCTCCAACTGCCTCTCCCACTGCGTCTACCCTCATGCTGGCTGCGGGGTGATGACTGCCTCTGGACCTGACAGGAATCTGTTTTGCTCCAGCTCTTCCCTAGGCCCGGAAGACCTTTCCTTCCTTTGCTCACTTGGCACCTACATCCCCTGTGGCTTACACACATCTCCAAGGAGGCTTCCTGCTCCTCCTCCACATCGCCTGAGCTTGGGGTGAGAGAGCTTCACCCTACAGCCCCTGACTTGTCACCACGCCTCCAGGCTGAGAGGCTAGATTCCTTGATAAGAGGCCTGGCCTGGCATCTCCATCTTGGGGCACAGGGCGGGTTAGAAGTGTGGTCCACTGGGAGTGAGAGCAGGGTCCAAGCACCCTGGAAGGACAGCTCCTTCCCTAGCATCCATCAACACACTGGAATGTGCATCTGCGCAGCCCTGTCCCTCTCCCTGCCCACCCCTCTCCTGGAACTTTCCAAAGCAGAGCTGCAGGCTGGGGTCCAGGATGTCTTGATGGGAGCAGACCCAGACGTAGCAGCAGGTGGAGAAGGTGTGCTGCCCCTATCAGGAAAGGCCTGGGATGAGAATGCTGCAGGGCCCCTGGAGAGCTACGGATGCCCCTGACCCCTGGGCAGGATACAGACAGACAGGGTGTAGGAAAAACCATTTCAGGAGGAGGGTGAAGCATGAACACAGGCAGAGAGATAACCAGGGATGGTGTGTGTCCTGGAAACAGCTAACAATCTGCTGAGCCAGGATGAAGGGAGCAGGGAAAGGAAGGGGAGTAGAAATAAGAGTTTGGGGGCTGTCTTCCTGCACACACATGGGTAGAGATTTCATTCTGGAGCAGAGACTTCTGGGACCTTTATTCCCTAAAGACATCACAGAACCACCTCCCAAGCCCCCACCTCCTGCAATCACTGGCGTGGCCTAGCAAATGGGAGAACATGAAGCTCTGCCCTGGGAGACTCCTGTACGCTCTGCTGGCAGAACCACCCTGCCCTGACCCTCCACCTTTTCCCTCCATGCCTGAGCTCCCGGGCCCCGCATGCAGCCTGCCCCCAGCCCAGGGGAGCATCTGCCAGTTCTGCCCCTTCTCCTCCTGTCCCTTCACTGTCCTGGTCCCCACCCCAGCACTGCACCCCGGTACCTGCAAAGCCATCACCCCTGGTCCCTGCCCTTCCCTTCCGCTTACTCCCACACATAATCCAGCATGAAGACAGCTGGGAGGCTGCCCTGTCCCTTCCTGCTCCAGTGCATGGCTCCCCATACCTCAGCAAGGATGAATCCTCACCCCAGCATTGTAGACAGCTTGACTGGCCCTTAGGGGCATCCAGCTCTCATACCCACACCACTGCATTTCCCCATGAGTGGTCCAATGCCAATCTGGCCTCCATGCTTCCCAAACAGATGACTTTAGGTGGATTAGTCTCATCCCCAAAGCCCAGACACTTCATATGTAAAAAGGGGTGGACCTGGGCACATGGGGGCACGCTCTGTGAGTCTCAGTATGCACATGAGACCCTGTGGCCCAGGGCCTTGATATCATCAGTGTCCACCCAGAGAGCACCATGGGCACCTCTTGCTTAGGGTGAATGTGAACACACTGGCTCAACTAAGCCAAGATGGCCCAGGTTTTTCTAGCCAGAAGCCAAAGGGTCACCCATGGGGACAGAGGGTGACTGCTGTGGGAGGGTTACACACAGCAGGGAGAAGGAACGGGATGGGGGGTGTCTGACAATCTCAAAAGATGTTAGGATGGGCAGTTAGATTTCTCTTAATTGTCTTAAAATGCACAACTATTAAAATATACCCTAGGATGAAACTGGGGTGAATTCAGAATGATACTGGTGACGGGTGACACCCTAGTAGGCTCCACCACTGGCTGGTGTTGTGCATTTCCACTGAATCCAGACAGCACACCCTGCCAGTGACTTCCCAGGCCCACTCTGCCCTTGGAGAAACAGAGGCTCAGGATGGTGACATCACTGGCCCTCTGGCCCCAGGTCACACAACCAGTAAGTGGCAAGGCTGGGACTGACCTCAGGTCTGGCTGTCGGGTGG